TTGTAGTAGCAGCAGTAGTAGTAGCAGTAGTGGTAGGAGTAGTCGTAGTAGTAGTCGTCGTAGTAGCAGCAGTAGCAGCAGCAGCAGTAGCAGTAGCAGAAGCAGTCGAGGCAGCTGTAGCCGCATTTCAACAGTCCCGGTGTGGTGCTGGCAGTGGCCAACAGTACTAGTCCTAACCTGCTAGCAACAAATTCCAAATATGCGAATGCAGCAGTTGTAGTAGTAGTAGTAGTAGTAGTACTATCTCAAGCTCTTCAATGCAGTGGCCTCAGATATTGTCGTGATGATAGCTGTGCTTCTGGTACTTGCAGTGTTGGTGTCTAGCAGTCGAGCTTGTCAAACTATGACACGTCCCGGTACAGAAAGCAATGACAAGCGTTTTGATAACAGGAGTGGTGAATTTTGAACACGAGACAGTGAGCAAGTGCAGTCGCTGTTACACGGAAAGGTGAGGGGCAGCTGAGTAAGAACGCCAACAACAAAACACTGAAATACTTCCCAACCAGCTCAGAGGTCGAGAGGTCGAGTTCAGACAGACAAAGAGAGGGAGAGAGAGGGAGAGAGGGGGTTTCCTCCTGCATCATAGCCCTGGCGAAAGAAAGAGGGAGAGAGAGGGAGAGAGAGAGAGAGAGAGAGAGAGAGAGAGAGAGTGTGTGTGTGTGTGTGAGAGACAGAGAGGGAGAGGGAGCGAGACAGGAAAACATACAGAAAAACAACACTGGCCATAGCATGACATGCAATGCCGACAGAATAGTTGACAAGGGAGCCATAAGGGTTCTGAGATCCGTAGCAAGAGTAGTAACATGTGGGTTCATCTACCACAAAGCGGGCGAAATTAGGACCATTGCGAATTAGATGGAAGTTGGACAAGTTGCCGGCTTGCAGCTGCAGCTACATTAAGCATAGCAGGAGAAGGTGGCGCCTCAGCCTGTTTGGTTCCATCTTCAGGCATACATTGCCACCCGAGGTTTGAGATTAAGAGCAAAGCTTCAACCCTAACTGCAGAAGCTCCCGAACCTTCCCAAGTAGCTCCGAGAGCTGGACCCTGGCACCTGCTGCACGATAGTACAACGGAAAGCCAAGGGTTTATGCAGACAGACAATCTTGATACTGCTTTGGGTGGCCTCTGCAGTCTTCAGGGTGTGTGGGTCCTGTTCTTTTCAGGGATCTACCCAACCCTGCGGTCCTGTTCTTTTCAGGGATCTACCCAACCCTGGGGCTCTCTCAGCCATAAAATATTTGCAGGTGACGATGGCCTATCCATTGGTCCTTCGCTCTATCTTGACCCACACGGAAGTTTAGAACAGCAATTGTGTGTACTTACGAACTTTCTAAAAACAATTGCAACCCAAAGGAGTGTTTTAAGCTTCTTATACAACCCTGTAGACAGCTTTGCCCCTTGACAGGACTTGGGGATCAATTTGACCTCAGAGCATCGCGGGACCGAAGCCAAGAGACGCCTGAGCCTTGCCCAGACGGAGTCTGAAGGAGCTCCTTGGATTCGTTTTCATTAGTAGTTAGTAATGTAAGGGCCTTGATAATTACCTGTGCTATTTCGGGGGTTCCTTAAAACAATTATAGTATAATGGGCCCCAACACCCTATTCTAATCATTAAGGCCCCTACAGTATCTTTTTTGTAGTTCTGGCTCAGACTTACATTATAGCATAACCCGATCAGCCCTATCACTAACTAACCAGTCCCCTAGCTCAATTGTACATGTATGTGCATATATGTATATAAACACACACGCACATGCACAAGCGCGCCTTGTTTTTGCAGTGTTTCGTTCTGAGAAACAGTATATCTGATGAGTACTTTGACTTGCCATAGGGCGCCTTTACATGTGGTATCTGTTCATGTTCGGGGATGGAGAAAGAAGCTGGAAGGAAAGCGCGTTCTGGTAGGAGTCTAGACTTATAAGCCCTAAATGGAATGGGCTTCGGTGGTTTGGCAGTTTCGTACGGCGTGGGGTGGGAGAGAAAGAAAGAAGAGCCTTCGGGACAGAGTGCAACAGCTCTTCGCCATAGTACGATGCGCGCACTCGGTCGTGTTGCAAAATGCTGTCGATTATATACACGCTACGTATTCCACGGCAAACCCCGAAACAGTGGCCTGAAACCAAAAACCTGGAACCCTCAAACCCCTGCGCCGAGGTTTTGCAACTTTTCAACTTCGTCCACCCGGGACTGGTGAGCTTCAATCTCCAGGCCTTGCAAGCTTTAGAGTCGAGGTTTAAGATTTCGGGTTAGGGTTCAGAGTTTCGGGTTCCGTTTAGTGTTTAGGGTACCTGTTTACTAGGGTTCCACAAGGGTCTAGGGTTCAGGATTGATTAGTGTATTATCTCTACAGAGGTAGCTACAAAGGGATCTTCCAGGCTTCTATAAGAGGCTTACGCGGGTTGGATGATGCTTTTTTATGGCAACTCTGCAAGCAAGCCACAATGGGATTTGACAAGTTTGAGAAAAAGCATACAGTAATATTATATGGAACACTAAAGGGTTATGTTTTGGGCTGCAGGTACGGTTTATCGTAAACCCAAAGCCCTAAAAGCCTAAACCCTTACAGCTTCTGGGGGTTTAGGAGCCCATAGCCCATGGGCCCTTCTGGAACCGTCAAAGCACCCTAATAACCGTATTCATGGCTCATTCTGTATTAGTGATAGTATCAATACGAGTAAGATAGCACTAGTGATTATAGTGGTTATAGAGTTTATCATTCGTAATGCCAGTAATAACCTTCCACCTGTGATCCCCACCCAAGTCTTGAATCCTTCGTCGGGTTGGCCTGGCGTCCGTTTGAAACCACGGGATTGCCAGAGAGTCCCAGGCCATCTTAGTTAATTCATGAAGGAATACCGTGAGTGTTGCTCAAAAAAAGCGTTCAATACGTTCAAACAGTCTAAGCTGTTGGGTTCTAGGCTTTATGGCTGAATATGAACAATGTAGAGTGCTCTTTAAAATGGTTTAGGGGAAATTCCGCGATTTGGTGGTCTTTGGGCTTTCTGGGTGTGCGGGCTTAGCGCTTGACAGTAAGCCGGGATATATCACGTAGCACGAAGAGCAATATCAGCAGTAGCCACAGGAAGTGCCGATGCTTAGAACCCCAAGCCACAAAACCCTAAACCCAAAGCCAAAACACCTTACATAAACCCTAAGCCAGCACCCTGCCTCGAAGGCTGTCTTGGACCATAACAGTTTCGAGATGCGCACGCAGATGGGCTTTGGACCCGGCTTCAGCTCAGAGCAGAAAAAGATCCCCGTGATCCCAATTGGTATTAGGGTGTCGGTCTTAGGATTGAGGGGCCTTCGTGATCAGTATTGCTATTCCCTAGGGTTCCTTATTATTATACATGTATCCAGAATACATGTCTAACTATATTGAGGCCACATGTACTTTACGTTGCCTGTTGTTGGGAGTCAAGGACTGTTCTTGCCGCTCGAGGGTTTCAGTGTGAGGCTTCTTGGGTTTAGGGTCGAGTTGGTTTTCGAGCAGCAGGTTTTGCCAGCCAAGGATCAAGTTAGTGGACATTGCCAACCAGTTCGCGGTGGTGCTCCATGTTCCTTGCTTATCCAACGGCGATCCTGAATCCGAAAACACCTGGCCCTAGAGCCTTAAACCCTACATTCAACACCCTAATTAATCCGTGAACCCTTGACCCTAGAACCCTATAAAACCCGAAACCCGAAACCCCCGAACTAGTACTGTTTTTCACGAAGACAGGCCCTCCCATGGCTGTCTGCGGGGTCCCGAAAAGAAGCCATCAACGCGCTCCAGAACTCGCGTCCGGACGTGATGCCTACTACGCTGAAGCCTGGTACTACAGTCGGAATCTGGGCTTTGGGTAGAACGGTTAAGGCTCAGGGTTTAGGGTTTAGGCAACTTAATTTGCATAACATGTTGCTAGAGTAAGGAAAAGGTGTGATGTCCTGTGCTCTTGTCCAGAACAACAGCGCAGGAATCCACAATCGGTTTTTCAGTCAGTACCTGAACATCCATGCCCATTTGGCCGTGACTGAGCGGCCCTTGAAACTGTTTTTTGTTATCCAGCTTGAACCCGAAACTCTAAACCGTTTTGGGCACGCCGCAAAAATGGGAGAACGCAGGTCCATTCCAGCCACACACACCCTTTCGAGAGCGGCTACCCAGCGGGCTGGATTTGGGAGCGGTTTACAGTCATTGATGCAGGCAATGGGGAAATTGCGCTGCACCATCAGAGGACCAACAGCTTCCTCGGCGTGAACGCCCACGGGATGTACGGCATCCACAGGGCAGCAAGCCAGCTTCCTGCTGGGTGGCTAGACCAAAGGTTCGAAGTGGTGACAATATCCAACGGCTACTTTGGACTTTTCAACCGTCACAGCAAGAACTACCTGTCAGTCGGACACAACCATGGCACATATATCTTTCATTCGCCGACGAAGGACCTCCCTCTTGGTTATACTCACCAGCAATTCCGCGCCCATTTGGTCGAGCCCCTCTTGAAGCCAGGTGCTATCGTGGTTTTGTGGAACAGCGCCCACCAAAAATACATGCGAATGCATGGTGGAGATGTGGATGTAGGCGGCTTCCAGCCTCATCCTACCGCCTTCCATCCTTCATGGCATATGGAGCAGTTCATCGTGGTAGCTTTACTGCGCATAGGAATTATGTGTTATCTTCCTCATAATATAGCTCCAGAGGATTAAAATGCATAATGTTTTTAGTCTGGTTCTAAGGGCGGCTAAGGTAGACGGCGGAAATGGTGAGGTCGCGCTTTGGAGTTGGATGTACCAACGCTTCCTGACCATGGAAGCGGAACCACACGCCCACTTGAACGGATACTGGGCTCTGATTCAGAAACTCAGACCCTCCATCTACTAGGTTTCTCAGTAGTACCGTGTTGCCCTTTTTTTGTATAGTGCTCCCTTATTAAAACTGAATAACAGAAAAAAGGGTACCTGTATTACTAGACTCAGGAACCTAGTTTTCCTCCGCAAGAAATAGAGCTGCAATTTATGCCTACTTGTGAATTTTGGGGACTACATACCCCTACCTGGGATAGCAGGGAGGGTTCTGGAATAACTTTGTATCGCCCTGTTAGGACCAACACATATTATAGAATCCAGAACAGTAGTTATACAGTTATACGATTATTCTTTAGGCTTCCTGGGTTTGGTTCTACGATAATATACAGATGTACCCTCGAGCCCTATTCTACTCATAAACGCCCCTTGTATACTACAAACCCTTTAAAAGCTTTCTATATTAATCTGTATATACAACCCCTAGTACCCCTTTAGACAGACTTTTCTTTCTAGTAACCCCTTATTTTCCGACCGTCTACGAACGCTGAAGCCCTAGATTTCCTTAAGCTCTTCAAGGCACCCAGAAGGGTTTGTCTAGGGTTTAGGTGTATGGGGTTGAGAAAATTTCAATAAAGCCCGTCAGCCGGATCGTTGTCATGATAACACAAGTTACGTGCTGCTTCAGAAAGCTTTATTTAAACAGCCATTGAACTCCCTCCATCAACAGAAAGTACCGTGTGAAAGGCTTATCAACTCCTCAAACCCTTAAACACCCAAAACCATCCATATGGCAACTCCGGCTCTGTAACACAGCCCTACAATCCTAAATACCTAAAACAGAAAGCGGTATGGAACACTCGTTATGAAGATCAGCTCGTTTTTGTACAGTATCACCTGGCCGCATGCGTTTGTAAAGTGCTAATGCAGGTGTAGGTTCAACTTGTTTGTCTGACTGTGATGTTTCGGATCGAGGGCCCTTGAGTCAGCTTGGAAAAAAGTAGCATTGCCATTGCGTTTCGGATTCAA